CCCCCACCCTGCTCTATGTTATAGTTTTAAAAAGCAAGTGACATGTCACGAGAGAAAAATGAATTTGAGGCAAAAATTCCAAAAACTGTTTTCGTTCTGTTCCGCTAAATGAGAAAATATTTAATGGATCCAGGATTCCTGATTTCAGATTCCAGGCCGGAAACATGAGAAGAAATATTCACGTGTGTTTACATAATACTGAGAAACGTGCTTTTTTTGTATTTGCGTTTTTACTTTTAATAATAATTTTTGGCTTTAAAGTTGCTGCACAAAATTTTTGTAAGATTTAGTTATGTTTTAAGTTTTATATTGAGAATGCTTTTATTACAGCACCCAAAATCTTTACTCCCCCTCCCCCCCTAAAAAAAGTCAAATGTAAAAAAACGAAGAAAAAAACCGTTGCCGAACACTATTTTTGTGTAGGTACTGATGGATCTGTATGGTTCTCCTGTATCTCGGAGTTCTCATCTCTCAGGATATTCAGGTTGGATTTAATTCTTATCATTCATTCGGTACTAAACTTCAGAGGTTGAGAAATCCGGATTAAAAAAAATCCAGGCCCTAAAATTTTATGGTTCCTCATTATGTAAGGTCAGAACTCTAGGTTCGAAAACTTCAGGGTTACTCAGGGTTCTTAATTATAAATGGTCAGAACTTTATGATCAAAACTTTCAGGGTTAATTATATAAGGTCAGAACTCTAGGTTCTAAACTTTCAGTGTGACTCCGTGTTCTTAATAATATAAGGTCAAAACTATAGGTTCTTAACTTTCAGGGTTACTCCGGGTTCTTAATTATATAAGATCAGAACTCTGGGTTCGAAACCTTTAGGGTTAGTTATTCAGAGATGGGAACTTTTGAATGGGATATCCTTAATCCTGATCGGATAATTAATCTGGAGATTAAAAATGAGTTGAGAACAAGCAATATTTAATCTGCAGATTAAGAAAAAGAGTGGATTAAGCCTTAATCCCGATATCCACCATTCTAAAGTTTTCAGCTCCGGGCTCTTAACTATATAAAGTCAGAACTCAGGGCTCTAAACATTCAGGGTTTCTCCGGGTTCTTATTTTAAAAAGGTCAGAACTCTAGGTTCTGAACTTCTATGGTTAGTTACTCTGGGTTCTTCAGTAAGGTCACAACTCTGGGTTCTAAACTTTCAGGGTTATTCCGGGTTTTTAATTCTATAAGGTCAGAACTCTATCTGTTCTAAACTTTCAGTGTTACTCAGGAGCAAGACTTAATACAATTACTAAGTCTAATACTCTGAAATCTATTATAAAATTAAACTGCTGAGTAACTATTCATAATCAACGTTTAACACAGAAGCTGAATAAATAGGTTAATAGTGTATATAAATCTTAATTTAAACAGTAGTAAAGTTGTATAGTTCATTAATTCTGGTCGGAGCTAGGATCAGAAAGTTAAAGAAAAAAATAATGTTTGTTTAAGATAACAGAAAAGGTAAAAAATAAATATTATTCTAAAATATATGTATCTCTGTTCATCACTACAGGTTATCTCTGTTTAAACGCCATAGTTGATTCGATTTAAAGTGTTGACAAATTAATAAATTCCTGCAATTACATGTGGTCATAAATAACTGCAAATATATGTAGTCATACATAACTAAAAATATTTGTGGTCATACATAGCAAAAATTATATGTGGTCATATATTACTGAAAATGGTAAAAACACTTCATATGGTTAACCACGACGTAGTGAAGGGTTCAACCTATTCACTGTTTATGGACAGACATATCCGTACCGTATTTGCAGTACAGATCAAGCAAAGAAATTATTAAAATTCTTCTGTGTTTCACCCTCTATTCTTAGAGAAATCGCATTCTTCCTCCCCCCCCCTTGAATCTCACGTTTCTGGCGGTCAGCCAAAATATTTTTGTAGGGGCCGTCAAAGTTTTTCTATTCAAACAGATATTCAGTGAATTTCCTCGTTGGATTTTTTTCATAAAGTTATCTGAATTTGCAACATTGGGATTTTTGGCCTTCGCATCGTCATGTCATGGTGGAGCTTAACCCCCCCCCCCTCACCCTTCCTTTCTATCCTTTAAGCGAAGGTTACTGTTACGGTGTACTGAGCGTTAACGGAAAATAAGACTCTCAAAGTTCAAACTAGGATTAAGTTCAGTTTTCTTGGCTTAAATTCCATAATTGATTGATTTTATCGTTTAAAATTCCAGCCTCATGTCGGGTGTTTAGCAACGTGCAAATTGAATTTTCTAATAATATATTCTTTTATTTGATTAATCCCTTCTCCTAAAATAGATTATTCCGCAACTTTGCCAATATTCTTTAGATTAAACTTTAATAGAAAATATTCAAGATCTCTGGAATTATAAAATGCAAAGTTAAAACTAGAAAAAAACTTTAATGTTTATGGTGTCCACTTAATTTGTTTGGATGGCGTGTACTAAATGCAAACTGCAGCCTTTGTTGCAACTAATTTTGCAATAGTATGCAATTTCAATTCTGCACTGCATTAGGCAGTAAAAAGTTCTCACAAGCTCACAATATGTACTACTTCAGAACAATTTTTTTGACACAATTTAATTTTTATTAACAGTGAAAAAAATTTCTTCAAAGATAAGAACATATGTTCTGCAGTTTCTGAATCAACAAGACTTTCTTAATTTTATTTAATTTCAGCTCTACAGTGGAGATTATACCAATTGTTATTTAACCCTATTTATCCTAACGTTTGGTTCCTTTTAATACAAATATATAACATTTGATACATTTTTGGAAAGCTCTTGGGCTCTATTTCAATAATCTGGAAAAAAATGGCAAATTTGAAAAAAATCCAAATATTTATTGCAAAATCTAGTTATTAAGCAAAAAATGCGCAAAAATAAAAATTCCGCAAATTGCAGCAAATAATACATTTTTGAAAAGCCATTGACCCAGCAAAATCAAATTTCCAAAATTTCCAAACCTAAATGTTTATTCAAGAAAAACTGAAAATGTGCCAACCTTTAAAAGCGTCTGTGTAAAAATCTGTGCAAAATTTCTTTGCAGAAATTGTGCAATCTGCTTGATTTTGTTATAGGCTTTCCAAAGAGCTAAAAAATATTGAAATACAATGACTGGAAGTAGGTCTAAATATAGAGTTAGTCTGGTATAGGTTTAATAAGGCATTTAGGCAGCATGCCTGAGGACTTAGGCAGTTTTTAAGCCTTAAGTGATGGGCATGTGTTAGTTAGAAAAGTCAGAAAACTTGCCCCCCCCCCCCAGGGTAAATAGGGTTAATACAGAACTTGCAAACTTTCTCCTGATGTTTTCCGTTTCTGATCCTGCTCCATTAAATTTGGGTGGTCGGGGGGTGTACTTAGAGGGAAGGGGAGGGAAGGGGAGGGTTGTACTTGAGGGGCATGAAGAATGGGGGAGGGGTTTGTACTTAGAACAAAGGAGATTGCATGGACCGAAGGGTAAATACATTCTGCTTGGTGTAAATTCGAATTTTGCAAATAATGATTATGAAGTTATGGAGTTCAGTTGTGTATTTTCTTTTTTTAGTCTCATGTTTATATTATAACTCTGTACGGAAGATTATGAGAAAATTCTGTTTTTAATCTGCGAACATAATTTTATCTGTCCATATGACTGTATAGTAGATAATTACATTTTCCTGTTTGCGCGCGCACGTAAAGATATTGAGGCCTCGGCTCTGCTAAGCGTGCGCGGAAAAATGTACTCCTATACCTGTAATCTAACCCCCACCCCCTCCCCCTGCCCACACAGGTTCCCCAATTA